GCGCCCAGACGGGGGACCCGAACGGACATTTCGAGCTCTCAGCCCCAAGAGGCCCCCAAGAGGCCCCGAAGAAGCCCCAAGAGGCCCCAAGAGGCTCCCAAGGGGCCCCCAAACTGCCCCAAGACAGCCCAGGAAAGCCCCAAATTGCCCAGGAGGCCTCCAAGAGTGCCTCGAGACGGCGCAAGAGGAGCCCTGGACGGCCCAAGAAGGCCTCAAGGGAGCCCCAGGCTGTCCCAAGAAACCTCTGGCCTCCTCCTCCTCCTCCTCCTCCTCCTCCTCCTCCTCCTCCTCCTCCTCCTCTTCCTCCTCCTCCTCCTCCTCCTCCTCCTACCCCCCTCTGCTCCCCCTCATCCTGCTCTCCTCTGCCTCCTTTTCCTCCTCCTCCTCCTCCTTCTCCTCCTCCTCCTCCTCCTCCACATTCTTCTCCCCCCTCCTCCTCCCTCATCCACCTCCTCCACCTTTCTTCAACCTCCCACTCATCCTCCTCACCCTGCCCCCCCCTCTCGTGTTCATCTTCGTCGTTCTCAGGCCGTAAGGCCTTCGCAATAGCCAAGATCTACTCCATGGGGGGGACGGGGGGGTTGCGAGGGCCCGCGCCGATGGACAAAACAATGAATAATAAAACGATCACCACCGCAGTGCCTCGTTTCGGGCTGGTTGTCAAACGACGTTTTCCAGATCCCTCCACCTATTCGTGTCTACAGGTTTTTTTTTCCCCACATGTTTCGTGGGGTTCTGGTGTTCTTCCCTGCCGCGGCGCACCCGCGTCTCACCTCACCTCACACCTCATCTCCTCTCTCGTCCTCCTCACCCGCGCTCAACGCGTGCACGGCAAGTCCATGAGACACGCGTCTACATACGGCCGCGCGCATGCACACACTCGCACACAACACACACACACACCATACAACGCTAGTGCGCGCCTGGCGTGATCACTGCAGCGTCCATTGAGGCATTTGCGCGGCATAGTGGACACCCACATGAGACACGTCCCGATATAGCCGCACACGCATCATACACATACACATGCCATGCCATATACAAGACGTGCGTGTAGGATTCGCAGTGGATGGCAGGAGGCTCTATGCAGGCCATGGCGCAGGGCACGGCAGGCGTGGCACTTTCTCGACACCACAGGGGGTGCGCAGGAGGTGGTCTCTCACCGCGGTCTCTATACGCGCCAATGTCGCAGGGCCTAGCACGCGTGGCACTTTCTCGACACCGGAGGGGGTGCGCAGGGGGGGGTCTCTCACCGCGGTCCCTATACGCGCCAATGTCGCAGGGCCTAGCACGCGTGGCACTTTCTCGACACCGCACGAGGTGCGCAAGGGGGTGGTCTCTCACCGCGGGCTCTATTCGCGCCAATGTCGCAGGGCCTAGCAGGCGTGGGTGGCACTTTCTCGACACAGGAGGGGGTGCGCAGGGGGTGGTCTCTCACCGCGGTCCCTATACGCGCCAATGTCGCAGGGCCTAGCAGGCGTGGCACTTTCTCGACACCAGAGGGGGTGCGCAGGGGGTGGTCTCTCACCGCGGTCTCTATACGCGCCAATGTCGCAGGGCCTAGCAGGCGTGGCACTTTCTCGACACCGGAGGGGGTGCGCAGGGGGTGGTCTCTCACCGCGGTCCCTATACGCGCCAATGTCGCAGGGCCTAGCAGGCGTGGCACTTTCTCGACACCAGAGGGGGTGCGCAGGGGGTGGTCTCTCACCGCGGTCCCTATACGCGCCAATGTCGCAGGGCCTAAGTCGCAGGCCTAGGCTCCCTTTCTCGACACCACACAGGGGTGCGCGGGGGGGTGTCTCTCCCGCGGTCCTATACCGCGCCAATGTCGCAGGGCCTAGCAGCGCACTTTCCGTGCAGGGGGTTTTCACGCGGGTCCTCTCGCCACAACAGACGCCAAGGGGTGCGCAGGGGGGGCGGCGCTATACTCCGCCAATGTCCAGGCCTAGCGGCCGTGGCACTTTCTCGACACCGGAGGGGTGCGCAGGGGTGGTCGCGGCCCTATACGCGCCAATGTCGCAGGGCCTAGCAGGCGTGGCACTTTCTCGACACCAGAGGGGGTGCGCAGGGGGTGGTCTCTCACCGCGGTCTCCTATACGCGCCAATGTCGCAGGGCCTAGCAGGCGTGGCACTTTCTCGACACCGGAGGGGGTGCGCAGGGGGTGGTCTCTCACCGCGGTCTCTATACGTGTCGCAGGGCCTAGCAAGCGTGGCACTTTCTCGACACCACAAGGGGGTGCGCCGGGGTTGGTCTCTCACCGCGGTCCCTATACGCGCCAATGTCGCAGGGCCTAGCAGGCGTGGCACTTTCTCGACACCGGAGGGGGTGCGCAGGGGGTGGTCTCACACCGCGGTCCCTTAACGCGCCAATGTCGCGTGCCATAGCAGGCGTGGCACCTTTCTCGACACCGCAGGGGTTGCGCAGTGGGGTGCTCTCTCCCCCGGTCTCTATACGCGCCAATGTCGCAGGGCCTAGCAGGCGTGGCACTTTCTCGACACCGGAGGGGGTGCGCAGGGGGTGGTTTCTCACCGCGTTCCCTATACGCGCCAATGTCGCAGAGACTGGGGTGCGCAGGGGGTGGTCTCTCACCGCGGTCCCTATACGCGCCAATGTCGCAGGCCTAGCAGGCGTGGCACATTCTCGACACCAGAGGGGGTGCGCAGGGGGTGCTCTCTCACCGCGGTCCCTATACGTGCCAATGTCGCAGGGCCTAGCAGACATAGCATTTTCGACACCGGAGGGGGTGCGCAAGGGGGTGGTCTCCCACCGCGGTCCCTATCGCGCCAATGTCCCGCAGGGCCTAGCAAGCGTGGCACTTTCCCTCGACACCATTATGGGTTCGCCGGGTGGTCTCTCACCGCGTTCCCTATACGCGGCCAATGTTTCCAGGGCCCTAGCAAGCGTGGCACTTTCTCGGGGCACCGCAGTGGGGCGCAAGGGGGTGGTTTTGGTCTGTCACCTCGGTCTCTATACGCGCCAATGTTCGCAGGGCCTAGGCAGCTTACAGCGTGCACTTTCCTCGCACGCGCAGTGGGTGCGCAAGGGGGTGGGGTCTCCACCGCGGTCTCTATACGCGCCAATGTCGCAGGGCCTAGCAGGCGTGGCACTTTCTCGACACCAGAGGGGGTGCGCAGGGGGGGTCTCTCACCGCGGTCTCTATACGCGCCAATGTCGCAGGGCCTAGCAGGCGTGGCACATTGTCGACACCAGAGGGGGTGCGCAGGGGGTGGTCTTTCACCGCGGGCTCTATACGCGCCAATGTCGCAGAGCATAGCAGGCGTGGCACTTTCTCGACTGCAGAGGGGGTGCGCAGGGGGTGGTCTCTCACCGGGGTGCTCCCTCACCGCGGCCGCTATGCACGACGGTCGTCCGGGGCCTAGCAGGCGTGGCACTTCCTCGACACCATAAAGGCTGCGCAGGGGGTGGTCCCTCACCGCGGCCGCCATGCACGACGGTCGTCCAGGGCATAGCAGGCGTGGCACTTTCTCGACACCATAGAGGGTGCGCACGGGGTGGTCCCTTACCGCGGCCGCTGGCTGGCTCGAATCTGTCCTCGATGGAGGATAGAATGCTAGGAAGAGGGAGGAGGTTCAAGCAATATGGCGTTGGATGACACAAAGGGGAACATTCGCGACGAGGGCTGAGAAGGCAGACTTGCGCATATATGATAAACTTAAGCAAGCACATACGATTTAAATTAAGTATGTGGGGTTCCTCGGTAGCGTAATTTAAATGCCCCGTTCACATCGTAAGCGGGCATCGCGAAACCGGTGCGCAAGGGCAGGGAAGGGGAAGACGGGAAATGGGGGAGGATAAAATTTCGAGCCGCCATGGGACAATAATCCCCCGCGTCGGAGGACTTCATCAATTCATATGGTACCGCATACCGTGCTACGTTCGACAAGGCGAACTGCATCCCAGTGCCCTTCAACTCGCTGCGTAAGGTCGCTGCAAACTATTACATACTAGACCACCCCAGGGAAACAAAAAATAGCCAGGCGAGGGACGCAACCATATGCAGCTGTGAATACCGCAGTCGTGACTATCAGGTTCGATGGGGTTCCCTATGGGGCCACGATCCTCGTGAAAAGTGCGCCGGACTGGGGCGAAGCCGCCATGCAAACTTTTCCCACCAGGGCCTTCGGTGGAGCTCCCTATGGGGCCACGATCCGCGTGAGGGGTGCGCCGGCTGGGGCGAGGCGGCCACGCGAACTTTCCCACTGGGGCCCTCGGGGGAGCTCCCTATGGGGCCACGATCCTCGTGAGGGGTGCGCCGAACTGGGGCGAGGCCGCCATGCGAACTTTCCCACTGGTGCCTTCGGTGGGGCTCCCTATGGGGCCACGATCCTCGTGAGGGGTGCGCCGAACTGGGGCGAAACCGCCATGCGAACTTTCCCACCATGGCCTTCGGTGGAGCTCCCCACGGGACCACGATCCTCGTGAGGGGTGCGCCGACCTGGGGCGAGGTCGCCATGCGAACTTTCCCATTGGGGCCTTCGGTGGCGCTCCCTATGGGGCCACGATCCTCGCGAGGGGTGCGCCGAACTGGGGCGAGGCCGCCCGGCCTTCGGTGGAGCTCCCTACGGGGCCACGATCCTCGCGAAGGGTGCGCCGAACTGGGGCAAGGCCGCCATGCAAACTTTCCCAGTGGGGCCTTCGGTGGAGCTCCCTATGGGGCCACGAAACGCATGAGGGGCGTGCCGAAATGGGCGCGGTGCGGGGGGGAGGGAGGAGGAGGAGGAGGAGGAGGAGGAGGAGGAGGAGGAGGAGGAGGAGGAGGAGGAGGAGGAGGAGGAGGGAGGCTGAAGACTGAAGACTAGCTCGAGGGGTTCCGTGGACCCCCTCGCTCGCCGCGTCGGGCGAAAGTCCTCGGGCGCGCCCGAGCCGCGACGGGGCCGGCTCAAGCCTTCAGGCCGACACAGCCCAGGGAGGGCTGCGCCGACCTCCACCTCGAGGTTCAGCTCGAACTGGCCGAACACGTAGCTCCGAGAGGCGCCACCTGGCCCAGCAGGTCGCCGAACTCGGGCTGCGCCTGACCCCAAAAGAGGAGGTCCACGCCCTTCTCCTGCGCAGTCTTCTGGCAGTCCGCGAGAAGCTTCGCAATCGTCGCATCCACGCCAGAGAACTTCTCCTTGTCCTGGATAATTGCCTTCACGTGGCCGATGGTACCACTAGCTTCCACAGCCACCTTCTCGTCCTCGTTCACCTTGCCGTAGCCTTGGCTTTCCTTATTGAGTGCCTTCCCCTTCTCCTTCTTCACCGTGGTGTGGTTGACGACTCCCTCGGACTCCGCCTCCTCGGAATCGATGTCGGCTTCGCCGCTCGCGGGAGAGATACCAGAAACACATCGGCGCCACGCCCTCGTCCGCCGCGCCCGACAAACCAGTCCTCTCCGAGAGGCCCGCCAAATCGGTCGACAGGTCCGCCTTCTCCGACGGGTCCGAATTGCCTTGCTCGCCGACGCCCATGGACTGGGGACTGGTGCTCCACCGCGTTCGCCACGTCACGCACGCGGAAGCGCGCGTCCGGATGCGAACTCCAATTGCATGCCTTGGTGGCACGGCCGATCCTTCTGGCCAAGGCGTCACCTTCCGGCCCCTGCGCCCGCAGCTTCTCATTGGCGCTGCGGGCCGTGCGGTCGCCTCCCAGCCCCTCCTTGACCAGGTCGACGGCTTCCTGGACGACCTCGAGGACCCAGGAGCCCGCACCAGCGGCCTGCGCTGGAATGCCACAGGCCGCACCCCGCGCCACCGCCGCCAGCAACGTCGCCAGCTGCTTGGGGGTGGCACCGAACTCCATCACTGCCATAGCCGCTCCGTTCGGGGAGACGTAAGACCCGGGTACGGGGGACTCGGGTTGGCCCGACGAGGTCGTCAAAAAAATGACGAGGCCGAGCCTGCATTTTGACGAGGCCTCCCGCTGCAGACATCCCACGAAACTCCTCCTCGTCAAAATCCGAGTCGCGGTCGTCAAAAAACGATGGCGAACCCGAGTCCCGGCAAACCCGGGTCTTACGCTCCCCCGATTGGGGGTGGCACCGAACTCCATCACTGCCATAGCCGCTCCGTGCGCCCGCCTGAGCCGCAGGCGAAGCAGCCAGCACATCGGTCGGCGCCATGCCGAAGGCCCCGCGGGGGGCGCGCGGCCGCCTGTCAAGCACACGTGGCTTGAGCCAGAATGGCTACGGAGGAGGAGGAGGAGGAGGAGACGCGGAGAGGTTGGAGGAGGAGGAGGAGGAGGAGGAGGAGGAGGAGGAGGAGGAGGAGGAGGAGGAGAGGTTGGACGCGGGGCGCTGTCTCCTCAAAACGAGGACCCAAGACCACAGGATGGTTGGGAACAAACGAAGACCCAAATTTCGGGCTGGTGGGGGTAGGGGTTCAACATGTGCTTTTCACTGTTCCCCGACGCACCCCCACTGGGAATGGAAGGCAAATTGGGGCCTTCGCATTGGGTTGGGGTGGTTTGGCGGATGGCGAACAGAGGGTTGCCTCTTTCGAAGATTGACAGAACACCCTTGCGCAAAAAGCCCTCTAGTGTACGCTGCCATCTGCACTCCACCTGCGCATGGCATCGCACTTCGAGTGCAGCCTACCGGGACAGCTACTCGACGTCCGAGAATAACCGAATGTGTCCTGCGGAACGCACGTCCCTTGGCGAGAGCGACTGGGGACTGCACCAGCACACTCAACTGCCAATGTCCAGTGAACCAGTTCATAATTCCTGAATCGATTTGCCCTGGTGGGCGTTCGTTCAAGGCACAGAATTGATCTCCGGGGGGGGCGCCGGCGGAAGACATCTTTTATCTTGCTCAACGCGGGAAGCGGCATGGAGTCGGAAGCCTGGTGGAACACATCGGCGGGTTCGGAGCGCGCGAGAAAGCGGCCGCCAGACGACGACTGTCGCCTCCGTCCGGAGAAGAGGCGGGGGGGGAGGTAAGAGGAGGGCGGATTTTGAGGATGAAGCCCTGGCACCTATTCGAAACCGCACGGCTCACTCTTTATACCACTTCTTGGCGTGGGCCGCGTAGGTCTCCGGGGACACGGCCTCTACGACGATGGGCATGAAGCCGTGGAGCGTGCCGCAAAGCTCCGAGCACTGCCCATAGAACACGCCCTCGCGCTGGATGAAGGTGGTAATGCGGTTGATGCGGCCCGGGGTGGCATCCGTCTTGACGCCGAGGGACGGAACGGACCAACTGTGGATGACATCCTCAGAGGCCTCCCAAAAAGGGAGGTCGAGTAGATGGGGTCGGAGGACCGCGCCGCATCGAGGATGCATCACGGCGACGTCGGCGATGCATCGGCACCGTCGGCGTGGAGAAGATCGTGCTCCACATCGAGCCGCATCGCCGATGCATTGGCGATGCGGCGCGATCCCCCGACCCGATCTACTCCGACCCCACCTGGGAGGCGTAGAATCCTGTCCGGTAACCAGGAAGCGGATGTGCGTCCGCGTGGGCAGCGTGAGGCGCTTGTCCACCTCGAGCACGCGGACCATTCCGGGCTTCAGGTCCTCGTCCGCGACAAGGTTGCTCTGAAACTGGTAGAAGGTGGGGATCTCGGCGCCCTCGAGGTACTTGTCGGGGGTCGCGTAGTCCTCCGCCTTCACGTTCTGCAAAGTTGGCTTGCGCTGCTTGGTGCCGAGCGTCTCCAGCCCCGGAGACGCAAGCTTCTCGCCCGCGGCGACGCGATCATCCTTTGGCCAGAACAAAGACTTCAACGGTCCTAGCATGGCCGTAAACAGGTTGCGAGCGAAGAGAACAAACGATGACCCGAACTCAGGGTCCTCGCCGTCAATCGAGGTGCCGTGTTTCGTGTTTGGCTCCTGAGCCAACACGGCTAACTACATAATGGCAGTCTTAGGAAAGGGAAGAGAAGCGACCGCAGGAGCAACAAGACGTCAGGCGAATGCGCAGGATCGAGAGCAGGAAAATGGAAGAATCGGACACATAAGAATAAAAACCATCGTAATGATAATGCGAATGCGAATAACGGTAAGACTAGGATTAGTTCGGGCGTGTCCCCCTACAGGCGGGTTTTGGGCGAAACCCAAAAACACACATACCCCGAACAATACAAGCAAAATCAAACATAGACCACGCATCGTCCCCCGACTATTTTTACTATTTTTGAATATTCCTCCTGTAGAGGGACTGGCCCGACTCAAGACTAGCAGGAGCAGAAGGAGCCGGGATGGCAGAGGGAGCGGCAGGAGGGCGAGCGAGCGCCTGGACGAGGAAAGCCCGACGGAGGAGATGCAAGAGGAGGAGGAGGAGAAGGACGACGACGACGAACAGACACGACGGAAGGAGGACGACGAACAAAAGCGGCGGAAGGCAGAGGGGGAGGAGGACAAGGACTGCAAGAGAAGACGCAGATAGAAGAATAATAATACGGAAACAAGCATAAACTTATGCCGCTCCGCGCGGAGCGCCAAAAGTTTATGTTTATGGCGTGCTTACCTCTTCGAAAGAGAAGGGAGCGCACTGCCTCCTCGGCTACTCGGGTGTTGCTAAAAGTGCCCCTGGCCCAAAGTGCCCCCAGCTTTTCGATCTATTTTGGAGCCCCTGGGGCCCTCTGGGCCTCGTGAGGGGTGCTCTGGAGGCCGCCTGGGCCCCCCCGAGAATCCTGGGGGCGGCGGCGACGGAGGCGCCGCCAAGGGACCCCAGCGCCGATCCGAGAAATCCGAGCGGACTTCCGAGCTGTTATGTTTACGTCATTGTTCGTCCCTATAAGTGGAGTTCCGAAGGAAGCACGGACAAGGCTGCTCGGCAGGAGCTGCCGGGAACCCGCGGGCTGGGCAACCAGGAGCGCTCGCCCCCCTGCTCTGCAGGCCCTCGCTCGAGACCCCCCCC